CCAACAAGTTGGTGACACCCTCAGCTACCACACCAACAAGTTGGTGACACCCTCGGCTACCACACCAACAAGTTGGTGACACCCTCGGCTACCACACCAACAAGTTGGTGACACCCTCGGCTACCACACCAACAAGTTGGTGACACCCTCAGCTACCACACCAACAAGTCCGTGACACCCTCAGCTACCACACCAACAAGTCCATGACACCCTCAGCTACCACACCAACAAGTCCATGACACCCTCAGCTACCACACCAACAAGTCCATGACACCCTCAGCTACCACACCAACAAGTTGGTGACACCCTCAGCTACCACACCAACAAGTTGGTGACACCCTCAGCTACCACACCAACAAGTTGGTGACACCCTCAGCTACCACACCAACAAGTTGGTGACACCCTCGGCTACCACAACAGTACTCACCCAAACTAATCATAATACTGTCACTGTCACTGTCACTGACACTCCAAAAGAAACCCATTAGAGTTACAAAATACCAAATATAATATTTGTAACATTAGTTTTATTATCCTGTTTCCTTCTTGTATTTGTAGATTACTAAAACAATAATCACAACTAGCTTTTGTTGGCCAAATTGAGCAATTGGCAATTAGAAAATAGTAAAAGTATAAACACATTTACAAACATTAAAGGTGTCAATGAACATTTATGTCACCAGACCATTAATTGAATATAATATTTTTTTAAAATTAAAAATTTAAACCAACGTTATTTAGTAGGTTAAATGTGATTTCAACCAAATCAACGCTGCTCCTATTTGAAACAATCGATATTATGTCTGATGCCAATTCTTTAATTGGTTGCTCCAGGGTTCTGCAAAACAAAAAATTTATTTTAAAAAAAACTAGAAAAGGTAGATGTATTTATTTAGTACTAGATTGGAATTTATAGCTCAAAATGTACATTTTTAATTAATGAAAAAATATAACGAAACATTATGTGTCAGCTTCATTGCTTTTAAAGTGATAGAAACATAAAAGACTTAGATTCTATTACTGGTTGTTTCTTTCGTTTTCTATTTTAACTTTGCTTCCCATTTTTTTATAGATGACAAGTCCAATCAGTGTACAGTCTGAAAATCAAAAAAATAAACGCTAATCTGTCAAAAATGAATCCATGATTCTTATAAAACATTATACCAAAACAGTTCTAAGCGAAACAATAGTTGTCAGCAAACATAGCTGGACAGCAGGTTTGGCATTGGGTTATCAACATTATATGGAAATGGCTCTATTTTAACTCTCAACACTTAGCTATTAATTGAATATACATACAAATAAAAAAATTGTGTTTAATGGAGTTTAAGTTAAAAGAAATATCAAGTGGCTTTAGAAAGCACTAGACTATAGAACAAAATATAGAAATTGACCAACCAGTTGAATAATCTGAAGGAATAAAAATTTTATTTCCAGGATAATCAGAAGTTAAATTGGTTACATATTCAAATGCACCAAAGTTTCTGAAGCGTGCAATAGCTGAGGAAAAATACTTTTATTTTTTAAAACTAGAATTACTTTATAGACTTAGACTTTAAAAAATTATGGAGGAATTAATGAGAGTGTAATAGATAAAAAAAAAGTTTCGAAATAAATTTGAATCAAAATACTTAAAAAGCATCAGTAATTACTAGAGTAGGCTTATTTTATATCTATTTAAGTTTCATGAACGTTTTTAGAAACAAGTTAATATAAATTGAACACTATGGAAGTTAGAAAATAATTAATTGCGTTGAGTTTCTAAATCATAGAATATCACGTACCAACTTGGCTTTCTTCATGAACCACTTTTGTTACATTTAACGACGCTAGACTTGAAGACACAATTTTTTCCACACTGATCATTAATGACGACATTCCAGGGCCATTACCGCTGAGCTTATCCCACATATTTCCATCGGCAGAAACTAGGTGGTTCGACAACTTGGCCAATAACTTTAAAACAAACAAGAATGTAGATTTTAAAGACTTACAAATGGTTATTTAAGATTTTTTTTTCTTGAGAATGTGTAACTTTCAAAATTGATTTTTTAGAAATAAATAGCCAGTTGTTTATGTAGTCAAATGCATCGTAAGTCTCCAAATTAACAATTTACATTTAGCCAAAAGGCAATTAGACACATTATATAATGTAGGCCTTTACATACCTTAACAGTTTTATCATTTATCTCGACGTCATATTTGTCCAACACTCTGTCTATTAGCGAGAAAATAGTTAGTACAGATCTCATATCATCCATTGTTCTAGTTTTGTTAAGGTGTGTGCTAATAGATTGCACAACAGAATGTATTACTACTCCTCTTTCTGTAGCACTTTTTGTGCTGTCATTCAGCTCAGACGCCTAAAGAAATATTTATACAGAAAAATGTGTTTTAGTAAGGACATCCCTGTTGTAAAACTTGTTTTTTTTTCTTCTCCATCACGTTGGTTTTATTGGGGTAAAGTTGTATTTTGTTCATTTTTGTCCAGCTGAGTTCATTTGTGCATTTGTGTAGCTGGCTCTGTGTGTAAGATGTTTGCAAAGATATGTCTGGATGTGTCACCAGTGAATATCTCACAGAGAACAGCGTTGATGTGCAAACGAGGATCATAAAATACAGAAAAAAGTAATGGATTTAACTGAGAACCTTAGAGAACTCCATTACTTGTATACCTGTTTAAGAAGAGTTTATGTGTACTATCATGCTACAGTAGTACGCCTACTACTGTTCGTTGTGATTTTTAATTGAAAAGAGTTAAGTACTTTATCTGTAGTTTCGTGAAATTTGTATGGAACTAGTATTTTAACAAGTATCAACAAAAAAACAAATTTTTAAATCGATGAAAATCATGCCACAAAGTAGTTTGGGGTTGATATTAACGAGCCTGGTTTTATTCACTTTTAATAAAGCTCCCTGACCAAAATAAAACTTTTAAAATCCACATTGGTGAGGAAAAGATGGTGTTTTTCTTGGTAGTTTGACATCTGTTTATTGATATGCATTTCTAATTGTATGAATAGGGAAGACAAAAAATGTAGAAATTTACTTATAATTCTCAATGTAATGAATGTTACCCTTTTTACTTTCTCGTATATACGAAGTATAGAGAAAGTATTGTAATCGTGCAAAAAATCTCGACGTTTTACACCTCACTGATACGGAAAAACATAATTTTGCAATCTTGTCCGTATGTCTGTGTGTGTGTGTGTGTGTGTCCGTGTGTAAACACGATAACTTGAGTACCGTTACAGCTAGGTTGATGACATTTCATATATAAGTATTTTATCAAAATCGTAGATCCGTATCAACTGTTGAGCGATTTCAGATAACCGGAAGTGGTACTTTTTCTAATTTGACTTTTTCAAAAGCCTATAACTTGAGTACTATTTCAGATAGATAAATGAAATTGGATATGTAAGTAAAAGATCTAATTCTCTACCTTCTGTCAAATTTTTGAGTAATTTCCGTTGACCGGAAGTACTTATTTACGCTATTTCCGGTTTCTCAAAAAACGCATGTAAATTTATAAAGTAGGCCTACTAATAATATTGAGCACTATTATGCACATCTTTATTTAGCGTTCACTTGGTGTGCATTTCTTTTTTCTACGAGATTATATTCTATTTTTAAAAATTTGAGTAATTAAAATGGATTAAAAATCATGTCTAGAAGTCTATATCCCGAGTTGCCATCCCCCGTAGTGTTATATTAGAATATTCGAGAAAGTTTAGGGGAGATCACTCCCGGTTTATTTGCTAAGCGTCTGTTTCAAATTTCTCGGTTAATATTGAAGAAAGTACGTTATGTGTTTAAATTTATTATTTTATTTATAGCCTATTTTCTTACCAATTCAGAAGTCAGCGCAGTCCATGGATCAGTACAGTTGCATGCTGTGTTCGATGTTGTAAATATTTTAAAACTTGCGACAAATTATGGTTAAACAAAATGTCATTAATCGCATAACTTAATAAAATTTAAAAAATTAAAAAAAAAAACCCAAGAAAACAAGACATTGTCAATTTACAACACAAAACTACGAGGAAGAATATCAGGTCTTACCTTTAGTCGAAGTCTCTTGTTTAGTAGTAAATGGTGTTGTGAGAATGGTGGTGTCTGCCAATGTACTACTAGGTGTTGTGTGGGCTGTGTTATCTGTTGGTGTTGTTAGTTGGGTTGTTAGAAGGGTGGTGTCTGCCAATGTACTACTAGATGTTGTGTGGGCTGTGTTATCTGTTGGTGTTGTTAATGGGGTTCCTAGAGGTGTGTTGTCTGCCAATGTACTACTAGGTGTTGTGTGGGCTGTGTTATCTGTTGGTGTTGTTACCGCCGTGGTTAGAAAGGTGGTGTCTGCCAATGTACTACTAGATGTTGTGTGGGCTGTGTTATCTGTTGGTGTTGTTACCGCCGTGGTTAGAAAGGTGGTGTCTGCCAATGTACTACTAGATGTTGTGTGGGCTGTGTTATCTGTTGGTGTTGTTACCGCCGTGGTTAGAAAGGTGGTGTCTGCCAATGTACTACTAGATGTTGTGTGGGCTGTGTTATCTGTTGGTGTTGTTAATGGGGTTCCTAGAGGTGTGTTGTCTGCCAATGTACTACTAGGTGTTGTGTGGGCTGTGTTATCTGTTGGTGTTGTTACCGCCGTGGTTAGAAAGGTGGTGTCTGCCAATGTACTACTAGATGTTGTGTGGGCTGTGTTATCTGTTGGTGTTGTTACCGCCGTGGTTAGAAAGGTGGTGTCTGCCAATGTACTACTAGATGTTGTGTGGGCTGTGTTATCTGTTGGTGTTGTTACCGCCGTGGTTAGAAAGGTGGTGTCTGCCAATGTACTACTAGATGTTGTGTGGGCTGTGTTATCTGTTGGTGTTGTTAGTGGGGTTTTTGTGGTCTTTTGCTTTGAAGTCTGGGAAGTGAATGTGGCGTATGTAGTGATACTGGACAGGGATGACGGGGAAATGGTATCTACATTGCCATTAGTTTGATCTGTGAGAGATGCTGTTGAATGCTGTTCTTCATCACATTTAGTAGTGTCCAGATAAAAAATGCAAACTATTGCAGTATCTTCTCCATGTTCATCATCTACAACCTAAGTTAGATTTACCAAATTGCATTTTAGGTGTAATTTCTTTATCGCTTTCTTCAGTGTCATTACAGTTTAAAACATTCTTTTAAAATATTTTAACCATTAAAATTTGCTAGATTTCCTGTCAATTGTCAAAACCCCAACTAATTATTAAAATTAAGCGTCAGTACATTCGTATGTAACAATATGTGTTGGGATAACACTTTCGAAGTAATCGGGCTATAGAAATAGTTGATAAGATTGTGACAAAACCGATAGTTTTTCGTGAAAACACATTATGGCGAAATGGTTTTTAAAAATGATAAACTGCTTTAGGAGAATAAAAATAGGCAAATTCTAAAGTTGTTGTCTTTTTTAAACCGAAAATGGAGTAAAGTACAATTCAAAGTTAAATTTTGTCCACTTTACTGGCTATTCTAGATGTTGTTTTTTGATAAGCCAGTTTTTTTGTAAATAATTTTTGTTTCTTACGGATACGAGCTAAATAGCTTCCTTTAAACTATTTAGAAAAATAATTTTATTCAGCAACATTTTTTTCAGTCTTAAAAACTATCCATAAGGCTTAGTTTCAGTTTCATGTTTCTATCATTTATTCCCCACCCGCCCACCCTCAGTATTGCAGCCATACAGAGATAGATTTATATCTGAATCATAGCATATTAAGCAGATACTTACATGTAGTTTAAATTTTTGCCAAGAAGGTTTGTTAGTCCTTCGGCGGATTATGAAATATCTCCACATGTTGTCGCGTACCATATGCTCACGGTACTCCACATCAATTTTTGGATTCGTGGTAACTTTAAAAAATGCATAATTGTACATACATGAACTAAATTTACCAGAACATTGCTTAATAATTACTTTTAAGCCCATGTGCATTTCCAAAATATTACTTTTAAAATATGCATTTTGATGAAATAAGCATTACAATTTGAAAAGTTTTAGGGTAAATTTCTTTGATACAAGTGCAATAACACTTGTTACAATTGTTTCTCAACTTTGGTCTGTTCTAATATCTTGAAACATTTTCATTGAGTAATTATACGCATGCCCATATATATATATATATATATATATATATATATATATATATATATATATATATATATATATATATATATAGTAAATAATAAATAATAATATAATTCATTTCATTAAGGAATTTTAGAAAGTATTGTGAACTTTTTAAAGTTTTGGTGACATGTTTTTAGACTGAAGCATTTCACCTTCTTGACCATAGGTTCACCAACAAAAGCACAAAGTATTTTGAAAACCCCCACAATATATTCTGCAATACTTACTGTTTGTGTGTGAAAGATTTGAAATTTTGATCTCGTCAAGATTAGCTACTTCAATGCATTGAAAGTCATTACACCGGTCTTCAGTATTTGACCTCACGACATGCAAAATCGTCACGTCCTTATAAAGAGGAACCAGATACTGCGCTTTTGAAAATCGTAGAGGCATAATGTTCTTGCTTCTTTCTAGAGTTTTAACAATGGACGCAAAACCATTCTGCAATGGCATGAGATAGTTATCAAAATATTACCCACCCACCCCCCCCCCCCCCAAACATAAAGGTGAGTGAATAAAGCAAAGAAAGTTATTTTTCCATGTATGTGTCTTTTTAAAAAAAAAATGTTTTAAACTTTGGCGACCAAGGAAAAAATATTTTACATCTAGATCTACGCCATTTCTGTACAATGATTAAAAAAGGGGCATTGCTAAAATCAGCATTAACACAAAAATTAGTATAACATGTTTAAAAGCAATACTTGAAAAAACAAACCCAGTGTAAAATCAGCTTTTTTTCTGTGGTCAAACACAGATGAATAACTTTTCCGAACGAAATATTTGTTGTGTATAGTGTTATACACGCTTTGAATTTTTGTACCCCATAAACACAATGAGGACTTGCATCTTGAAATAGCGTTGCGATGGTGCACCGTCAAAACGGCCCAGGACAAAACAGCGAGGTCAAAACGGCCCCGCCAATATAACCCCGTCAAACGACCCCCGACTACACGACCCAGTCAAGATAGCCCATCAAAAGGACCATGATATAATGCGCTCCCTACATATTGGCTCCCGACAAATACTCAAGACATTGTTTCGCGACAAATCGTCTCCCGAGTAATTGGCTCCCGACATAAGGGCTAACGACTAATGTGCTCACGACAAATGGGCTCACGACATATTGGCTCACGACAAATGGGCTATGGTATGGGCAACTCTGACAAACATTTTAAAGTTTTAGCCCTACGTCCGAAACAACTGCGTCCAGATATTTGAAGCTTTTCACGATATACTTTCATAATTCTTCTTATGGCGTGTAACGATCGTTGTGGCGCATTATCCCTCTTCATGAAGCCTCCACCCAGGCATTGGCCACAAATTAGTGGTCGTTGTAATTCATCTATGAGATCTTCCATTCTGGCTGATCAGATGCCTTGTTGACATCATCCCTTACATTGTTTAATTCACTAAATGAATCGTTTTGCTGGGGTTTGGAGGCACGTGTGAGAGATTCAGGGAATAGAAGGAGACCAGATTGGCCATTCGGTTTAAGTCGCAGATTGCCAAACATCAAAGAAATAGGTTACAAACACTAAATTTGCACCCAAGATTCGAAAAATTGTAAATCACTGTTTACGGTGTCATACCATCGAAATATCTAACTCCGGTCTCGCGCGGATGGTCGGCCCCATGAACGCCGTAATCCTAACGCCGGCTCTGCTGTTTATATGCATTTGGTATTTGTGTGATTCAATATCCATTTGTTTCTTTACGTAAAGCTTTAAGACAATTAAATTAATAACAAACCTGAATGCTTCCTTTTGATAACCCATGCTCACCTAATCAAGAGCAAGAAAAAAAAATGTTTTGTCAAATGAAAATAATTGAATATTATATCCATATTAATATTCAAAAAATAAAATCGCCGTTACAAAAATTATTTAAAGGGTTGTTTTATCTTGTAAAAACTGCTTTTATTATAAATATATTTCGAGAATATGTTAGTGAATTAATGCATAGTTTAATGCACAAGCTTCTTTTCTTGTATTATTTCAGAAAAAAAAACCATTAGAGTAACAAAACAAAAAAGTTAAATTAATCACACACATTTATTTTTCACAATAAATTCCAATTTCTTCACTTACTGAGATAATTAAAATATACACAAAAGTTTAAAAGTTTATAATTATATAACGTAAAATTAAGCTCTACTTACTGGCACATGGAAGCACACACAAAAATATACTGAAGATCCAGAAAACATGGAGCATGTATATATAAAGCTCAGTTCTGTAACGTGTGGCAAAAAAGTTTGTCGTTGACACTTCTATGGATTTAAGTGTTAGATATTTTATCGTACTCATAGTCTAAATTTACGAGTCAAAAAATTACCATTGAAAGTCTTTAAAAACAATTTTCACTCTATTTACTTAGAAGAATAATTTTCAATTATAAACGCGACATAAAATTTTTAAAAAGTGTATCGACGTTTATAAAATTTCTAAAATTGTGTCGGAAATGTATTGACTGCACAGTTACTTCCCTTTAATAAAAAAAATTCTTAAGAAGAAAGAATTTACATTTTATTACTTTGTTTTTGGTGTTAAGAAAAAAAAAATTAATTACATAATTAGCGGGGATTGATTAAGTGCAATGTCGTTAGGTATTTTTAACACTGCCTTTTATTTATTCTATACACTGAACATACTGTTCAATAATTTTTTTTTTAAATCAATAACATTTAATAAGCCAGATCCTACAAATCCTATATGTTTATTTCTTTCCATTTACGGATAAGCTTGGAGTATTATCATTTTTGTTCACTAAATTGAAACAGGCGCGTCCGCCGGCGCCCTTGCACGGTTCGATTTGGCACCCTGGGCTATCATGTGAGCGCTATGCTGCATAGTTTTGTGTTTAACAGTGCGATAGACTATGGGTAAGAAAGGTTACTATAGTCTTTAAGTGAATCAAATCCGGGCGTCCTCCGGCACCCCGACAGGGTGCTATTTGGCGCCCCGGGCCTTCCGGTGTATGCTATGTTATATACGTTCGCGTGAGTTCAAAAGACTATGAATAAGTTATGTACTATAGTCGTTTACTAAGTTCAATCAGGCGGTGACGTCATGGTGCGTCCTCTGGCGCCTAGACAGGGTGCTATTTGGGGTCCCAGGCCTCCCGTGTTCGGTTTCGCGCCTACGTTCATTAAAGTGAGTGCAAAAGACTATGAATAAGTTGGGGTACTATAGTCGTTTATTAAGCTGAAACAGGCGATTCCGCCCCGGGCTAGACTCTGAGCACTGTGCGTTTATGTTCGTGTTAGTGTTTTCTTTGTGTTTAGGTTGGGTTTGCGTTAGTGGTTGCGTTTTGATTTGGTTCGTTTTTGTTCTTTCTTTTTTTCGTTTTCGTTTGTGTTTTATTTTCTTTGCGTTTGTGTTTGTATTTGTGTTTGATGTTGGTTTTGCGTTTGTATTTGGTTTGTTTTCGTTTGTTTTTTCGTTTGTGTTTTTTTCTTTGGGTTTGTGGTTGGTTTTGCAATTGGATTTGGTTTGTTTTCGTTTGCTTTTTCGTTTGTTTTTTTCTTTGTGTTCGTATTGGTGTTTGTGGTTGTGGTTGGGTTAGTTGTTAGGTTTTTGTTTTCGTTTGTATTTGAAATTGTGTTAGCGTTATGTTTGCGTTTTGTTGTTTTGGTTTTGGTTTGGGTGTGCAATGCCGGGTTTATGATGATTACTAAACACACAGGTAATGGTCTTTAACAGAAAGGTTTTTCACAGAAGCCAGAGCAGGGCCTGGCCGGGACGGCTAGTCTTTAATAAAAACATCTCCGTCAACTTGTCATAAAAGTTGTTTTCCTGTATTTAAAAAAATATTGCTGAATAGTCTAAAAATCACTTTCTTTTTACAGTTTAGCCGTTAACATTTTTTTTTTGTTGTTAGATGAACTGTTAGTATTAAACAGACTCAATTTTAGACTTATTAGAAAATACAATTGTTTTAGAAAATAGTACTACCACCAACTACAATTATACACAATTTGCTTAGGTAGTTATATCAAAGCTGACATAAATTATATAGTAGTGACATGGTTATACAATAAGTTTGATTGTGTGTCCCACAAAAATATTCATTAACATCGTATTAACAGTTCATAATTTTTTAAAGTTTCTACACTATGCATAATTTTATTTTGTACTAGCTTTTACCCGTGCTACAAATCGCTGTGATCTCAGAAGAAAGAAATTCAAGGACATTCATACTAACATTCGATAGTTACCAATAATATTTTTAGACTCGTAACCTAATTTTCTTCTAGGCGCTTTCGGTTCAAAGCGATGTAGTTCTAAACATCAGATTAAATTAATACGAATTTTGAAGATGATTTCAGCTTTACCGACTCGACCACGCCAAAAAGTCTAGAGTTTGAACCCGCGGGCAGATGAGGCTGGGGACAACTCCAAAATCCAACAGCCTTGTAGTTTGTTCTACAATCAAAATAAACCGGGAGTGGTCTCCCCTAAACTTTCTCGAATATTCTTATATAAAATTATGGGGGGTGGCAACTCGGATTATAGACATGATTTTTAAGTACTATTACTTTTTAAAATAGAATAGAATCTCGTAGAATAAAAAAGAATTGCGCACCAAGTGAACGCTAAATAATATGTGTATAGTAGTGCGAAATATTATTAGTACTTTATAAATTCATATGCGTTTTTTTTGGGGGGGAAATTAGAAATAGCGTAAATTACTACTTCTGGTCAACGAAAATTATTCAAAATTTAACAGAAGGCAGAAAGGTAGATCTTTTACTTATATGTGCATTTTTGTTCATATATCTGAAACAGTACTCAAGTTACAGGATTCTGAAAAATTGAAAGTAGAATAAGTTCCACTTTTGTTTATCAGAAATCGCTGAAAAGTTGAAACAGAACTACAAATTTGATATAATACTTATACATGAAATTTTATCAAACTAGCTGTAACGGTGTTCAAGTTATCATACACACATACATACACACACAGACATACGGACAAAATGGTAAAACTATGTTTTTCCGACTCAGGGATGTGTAAAATGTCGTGATTTGTAAAAATCTATTTTTTTTTAAGGATTACAATACTTTCTATATACTTTGTATACGAGAAAGTAAAAAGAAAAGTAGCCTGAAATCAGAGTCAGTGGCCTCAATGGTGCATAACAAGTTGACACATATACTTAATTGTGTTGTAGGGGATCCGTTCCGACACTAAAATTAAGAAAGAAGAAGAAGAAGAGACGCATGAGCTTGTTTTCTAAAACTGAGTAATTTAATAGTGAGAATATACGGGTACAGCCGCTATTTTAATGTACTAACTGAATGAAGGGGCCAGAGTGCTCATGGGCAAGTCCGGGATGCTGCAGGTCACAGGATTGCCATGGCGACAAATAGCCGGACGACGCGCCTGATTGTATCCTTGGTAGATGTATTTCACCATTCGATAAAATGACCAAACGCAAAATTATGAGGGGCTCTTAATATTTATTATATAGCTTTAGATGTGTATTTTAAATATACTTACCTGTTGTTTTAAAATCAACGGATCAAAAAAAGAAAATATGAGTCGCTTTCCGGCATAGTTAGGGATCATCCATAAATGACGTCACGCTTTTTTGACGATTTTTACCTCACCCACCCCCTCCCCTCCGTCACACATCGTCACAAAAAGCCAGACCCCCCCTATAATGACGTCACACCTCAACCTACAACCATCCTCAAAATTGCAGTTGAATTTTTCTTAAAACATCGATATTTTTACAAAATTTTGTCTGAACTATGTCAAAATAGAGTATTTTAATCAATTCTTATCAAAACAGTTTTCTAAAACACGAAATAACGTCTAAAATTCGTTTTCTAACCTTGCTTTTTTATAATGCAAAAGTGTGACGTCGCACTATCTGACCCCCCTCCCCCTCATCACACACCGTCACAAAATTACGGACTTCCCCCCTACGAGTGTGACGTCATTTATGGATGAACCTTACTGAAAAATACACCGGAAGTGATCTCCCCTAAACTTTCTCGAATATTCTTATATAAAACAACAGGGGATGGGAACTCGGGCTATAGACATGATTTTTAATCCATTTTAAATACTTAAAGTTTTAAAAATAGAATAAAATATCGTAGACAAAAGAATTGCACACCAAGTGAACGCCAAATAAAAAAGTGCATAATAGTGCGCAATATTATTATTACTTTAAAAATTTACATTAGTTTTTTGAGAAATCGTAAGTAGCGTAAATTACTACTTCCGGTCAACGGAAATTACTCAAAATTTAACAGAAGGTAGAACATGTGAAATTTCATGTATCTATCTGAAATAGTACTCAAGTTATAGGCTTTTGAAAAATTCAAAGTAGAAAAAGTACCACTTCCGGTTATCGGAAATCGCTCAACAGTTGATACGGATCTACGATTTTGATAAAATACTTATATATGAAATTTCATCAACCTAGCTGTAACGGTACTCAAGTTATCGTGTTTACACACAGACACACAGACAGACAGACACACACACAGACATACGGACAAGATTGCAAAATTATGTTTTTCCATATCAGTGAGGTGTAAAACGTCGAGATTTGTAAAAATCTCGATTATTTTTTTTTGCACGATTACAAGACTTTCTCTATAGATCTACTTCGTATATACGAGAAAGTAATAAATTGAAAAAAAAATTCCAATAAAACGTAAAAATAATTCCGGTCTTAAAGATCTTAGAATTTGTTCTTCATAAAATTAAAACGACAGAAAAATGCGCTAAGTTTAAGTAATTTCATTGAGAGAGGACTAGAACAAAAATGTCCCCCTGTTATTTACAATGTAAAATACTAGCCCGTAACTCCTCACAGTGCCATCAGCTTCAAAATCCCAAATTGTCTAGATAACATAGTAGATAAAAAAATTTAAATGCATCTCTCCCTCTCTCTCTCTCTCTCCCTCTCTCTTTCTCTCTCTCTCTCTCTCTCCAGCCGATCAAATACTATTTCTCTCTCTCTCTCTCTCTCTTTCACACACACACACACACACAGACAGACAGACACACAGACATACGGACAAGATTGCAAAATTATGTTTTTCCGTATCAGTGAGGTGTAAAACGTCGAGATTTGTTATAATCTCGATTTTTTTTTTCACGATTACAAGACTTTCTCTATACTTCGTATATACGAGAAAGAAATGAACCAAGTCATGTATTTTACTGTATAGGGCCTTGTAAAAACAGACTTGCATGAAGTTATCTGCGTTGCATCGTACACAAAGTTTGCACATTCGATTTAAAAATGGGAATCCCCAAACCAAAACGATTTTGCCCTTTAGAAATACGTTTCACAAGAGAAAAGGTTACGTGGTTAAAAATTCAATCACGATGCAAGGTTAAGTTGAAACGATATATTTACAAGTAGCTCGAAAAACATCAGGTATGCCTATTTACACACATTCAAAGCCCATGCATGTGAACATGGGTAGAGAGGACTGAAATTCAAAATATAATCTCAAATAACGGTAAATTACTTTTGATATGTGTCCGTAGAATGGGTGTTCTAACCGTTTTCCTACTTACACTCAAGGTACACCCTTCTGCCTACATAAAATGGATTATTTGATAGGTACATTAAGTTGTTTTTTTTTTATTTTGCACAGTGCAATTAAAATTAATAATACTACGAAAACCTAAGTGTTTGGTTTTAGTCGGGCTTGAATAAAGATTGAATGTATTTCACGTTTTCAGTATTTTCAGTAATTAAACACAATTTTTTTTAAAAGGCAAAAACAATTTGTTTTTCACGTGGTTACGGAGACATAAACGAAGACATCATGATATGCGATATGATAGGCTAGCATAAATTTTATCACACAAAATGTAAAAAATATTGCAGAACTAGGTCATGTGATTTAAAATAACATAATTTTATTTTTGTAAAATAATATCTATGAAATTGGGCTGTCTGAATATCGGTCAAGGAGTAAAACCTGTAGAGAAAATCAATGTTTGTCTTACGAAACTGAAACCTCAGTGGCTTGATAAAGTATTTTTAAGTTCTCCGGATTTGCAACTTCATTAACATTGATTCTAAAAATATTGAATTTTAAAATTATTTTCAGGCTTAAGTTTTTATTTTTACGGTCATTTTTATGTCAGCAACAATGATCGAAGGAGTCTCGTCAGAGGGGTAATGTCTATTAACAAAATAAATCATAGCGACAGATAAGTAATTGGTGAGTAACTTAAAAAAAAACAGAGCTTGAAAGATAAGAGCCAGTGTTTCTTCCAGCCTTTTATCTCCGGGAGGGCACTTAAAATTTACGGAAGGGGGGGAGGGGGGAGCCGGACACTGTTAACAGTATATTCTCTATATAAGTTCCATTTCGTTCGGGGCGGGGGGGGACTCTCTTTGAAGAGGTGCCTGGAATATACTCTGATAAGGGCGCGTATCTTGTTGCCGCATTATACCTTATAGTTGGTTAATGAAGTACATGAATGTTGCGATCATTCTCATCGTTAAACTGTTGATTAAACCTACCTTGTTGTGGTAGGTGTCTGTATAAAACTGCCTGATTCATTTTACATTATATACTGCTAGATGTGGGATATAGATTATGAGTGAAGCTATAAAAATTATTTGATCAGCTAAGTGTTTTTAAAATCCTTATAAAGTCGTGAAAGTAAAGGAACGAAGACAAAAACACTCTGTACTCCGTTTCAATAAAAGAGTCGTTAGTAATTTATTTTTTAATACATGGCATGCCGTTTTGGAAATTCTAAACGTCTGACTTTAAAATAAACGCTTTTGAATTTTAATTATGCAGTAGTTAAGTTATCACATATTTTCAAAGCTCAACATAGATCGTGTGAGATTGATCTTTCATTGCTAATCCCTTGGTCTATTAATTGAGTAAGTTGTCAGAAAAGTTGTTGTCGATTCAATAACAATATATTAGCTTTGTCGAATTCAGGCTAATTATTACTCGACTGATCCAGCAATTATATTTTCCAAATCAGTTGATTTGTAGAAATTCTCTGTGTAGGAAGTTTTGTATTATGTCAGAAACGCATGTTCTATTTACACGATAATTTTTAAAAACATTTTTAAAATAAAAAATACATTAGAAATTTCAATATATTTTAAAAGACTTTATAGTTTTTAAACATTGAAATTGCTTGTTTTTAGCATTTGCATCCAAGACGTGGGAGGATGGATGTTACCAATGTTTTGTTGATGCTCTTTCTGTGCAATGTTGGCCTCTCTGGTTAGTACCAATATTTTGGTGGTTTGATCACAATAACTAATGTTATATGATAATACTGTTTTGTATAGTGATTATTAATACATCTATACATTATACGTTATACGCTATATGTTTCACGCTTTACGTTAGACCAGGGGTCGGCAACCTGCGGCTCGCGAGCCGCATGCGGCTCTTTTGATATCAAGCTGCGGCTCTCCAGCTCCTTGAACAAATAATAATAATCTTAATAAAAAAATAAAATATTTAAAATTTTAAAAATGTTAGTGGCTCTTTAAAACCAGGGAAATTTTGAAAATTGTAACTTTTGGCTCTTCCGCTTCAAAAGGTTGCCGACCCCTGTTTTAGACGCATTTGTTGTATATCTACTAACATTAAGTATTGCAATATACAACGGCTGCTGGTGTATTTGTTTTTCAACTTGATAATGCAAGAAAACCTACCAAACTATTTTTTTGTTTAGAGCCTCTGCTCTATATAATTTTTACAATAACAAATAATAACTTACAGTTGTATTTATGAGTAAGCGGTCAACCTAAGGTGCAGGAATTTGAAATTAATTTAAAGTTAAGCAATGAATCATCTCCCCTTTGGAAATCCAAATACCAAAATTGTATTCAAGGGAAATAACTTTTAGTAGAATAGCTAAGTGAACCAAGTGTAACTAAGACATGCTGGAAAAACACAATAAAATGCTTTAAATTTGAGTACCTAATAAGTATAACAAATCTTTTACGTTAATTATGTAACCGTGTGAAAAAAAAATTATTTTATTAGTTGACTACTTAACTGTAGGTTTTTTTTTAAAGTCTTAACACGGTAGCTATATTATAACATACTTTTAGTCAATTTTGATGACATTCAATTTACCGCATACATTAAATTCATGAAATTATGTCAAATTTTGGATCCCCTAATTAAAGGGGCGCGTAACTGTTTAAGACAGGGGTCGGCAACCTGCGGTCTCGCGAGCCGCATGCGGCTCTTTTGATGTCAATATGCGGCTCTTCAGCTCCATGCACAAATATTAATAATTATATTAAATTATTTTTACAACTCATAAAAATATTAGTCTGCAATACTCGGTAATCAAAGATTTTGATCTAATAACAATGTAAAGTTTCTAATTTCGAGCATAGCTTGCTAAACAACTTTAATATGTTTTGTGCGAAACATGTGTATGTTTTTATATGAATAAACATTATTTCATATTTTAAGCTATTTATTTTAAATGTATGTATATATATATATATATATATATATATATATATATATATATATATATATATATATATATATATACATTTAAAATAAATAGCTTAAAATATGAAATTATATATATATATATATATATATATATATATATATATATATATATATATATATATATATATATATATATATATATATATATATATATATATATATATACATTTAAAATAAATAGCTTAAAATATGAAATTATATATATATATATATATATATATATATATATATATATATATATATATATATATATATATATATATATATATATATATATATATATATATATATATATATATATATATATATATATATATATATATATATATATATATATATATATGCCTATATATATATATATATATATATATATATATATATATATATATATATATATAATATAATATTGAAATGAAAATGTTTGTGGCTCTTTAAAAACTGTGAAATGTGGTAAATTGTAACTTTTGGCTCTTCCGTCACAAAAGGTTGCCGAGCCCTGCGTTAGACAGATAAAGATGTAGATGTAGAGCGAGTAAACGTAGACCTACGTATAGAAATATACCGGCAAACAGTTTAGACATAAGAAATTTGACACTGGATACAGCATACTAGTCATTAGACCTCAAGCGTTAGACCTCATATCTTAAAACGCAGACCTCGGTATATTAGACGTATGCGTAAGATTAGACTTAGGCAAATATATGTAGATTGTTGACGTAGACGCATTTAGTTATAAGAAGAAATGTTGAATTATTACCTACACGTCAGCATCTTGTGATTGGCACCCCGTGTGTGATTATCTTAGTACATGAGTTCCGCTATTTGATCGTCCTGTATAGTGGGTAATATTTGATTCAACTACGTAGGGGTACTATTATATTCAGCGGTACCCTTAGGCGCCCAGCGACGCCTCTGGCATCTAATTGTTTTTGTCATCTAAATGTTAAACAACTATCGAAAAAATAACAGACTTCTAAAAATACCGATGTGTATGGCATCGATGAGATCATCTAATAAAGTTGGCTTAATTTGGTGTGTATAAATAAATCTATGACATTAATGAGATCATCTAATAATGTTGGTTTAATTTGGTGTGTATGACTAAATCTATGACATTAATGAGATCATCTAGTAATGTTGGTTTAATTTGGTGTGTATGACTAAATCTATGACATTAATGAGATCATCTAACAATGTTGGTTTAATTTGGTGTGTATGACTAAATCTATGACATTAATGAGATCATCTAATAATGTTTGTTTAATTTGGTGTGTATGACTAAATCTATGACATTAATGAGATCATCTAATAATGTTGGTTTAATTTGGTGTGTATGACTAAATCTATGACATTAATGAGATCATCTAATAATGTTGGTTTAATTTGGTGTGTATGACTAAATCTATGACATTAATGAGATCATCTAATAATGTTGGTTTAATTTGGTGTGTATGACTAAATCTATGACATTAATGAGATCATCTAATAATGTTGGTTTAATTTGGTGTGTATGACTAAATCAATGACATTAATGAGATCATCTAATAATGTTGGTTTAATTTGGTGTGTATGACTAAATATGTGGCTTTGATGACATCATCTAATAATGGTGGCTTAATTAGCCAACGAGAAACTGACACGCTAGAAGTTTATATAGCATTTTAACAATATGACGTATCTACCCCATTTCAAATTATTTCCCTTATATTTTTTAATAGAAAGTCTTCAAATGCCAAAATTTGAAGCAAAAATAGATGGTTGGGAAAGAGAATGTGAAGCTCCGCATTGCCGCTACACCGGAAAGATTATTGGAAGTGTGACATCGGAAGGATTTTTTCCAGAACCGGAGATATGTGTGTTTATAATCGTAGAAACCTATTATGAAGAAGAGCAGCGTTTTCATTTTGTAAGGATAAATATTAAAATGCATTTATATTATTAACATGTAATTGTTGTATGTAAACGGGAGCACGGTGTTCGTGAATAGTGGCTTAAAAGTAGGCCTATTTGTGTCTTGGTAGTGAATGGTATGGGTGTAAGGTGTAGATCAGTGGTTCCCAAACTTTTTCGAGTGACGACCCCCTTTAACAAAAAGCAAGTGACCCGCGTTACCCATGGAATTAAAAAGTCGAAATTAATATTAATAAGGTAATTTTTTATAGATTTTCTTGTAGACTTTTAAAATGAATAATTATTGAAAACTGTTTTAATACGATGAGTAATATTTCATGCTATTAACTAGCCTCAAGATTCGCGGTTTGGTTTTTGTTAACGCCAATCTCATGTCATTCTCAATATGTAATTTGAAATTAATTTCTATGTTTTGTTTTTAATTGGAAAAGTATTGAAAATCTGTTAGATATGTAGACACAAAAGGACCTAAAACTCGAAAGGCAATCAATTTCACATTTGGGTATGAATGGTGCGTACTACACCAAAATTGTGTGAGCAGTTTTTCATCTGACGCGGAATCATTCCGCAAATTTAAGAATTCATCTTGAAATTAATCGGGAATGTTGGAAACATCAAAGGATGCAGAGAATGAGTGCAGTTTCTTCTTCTTTAAGCTCAGGGAAAATAACGCCGCGATTCGTTTTCTAGAGATTTAAGATGCCCAGAAATCTCCTGTTTAATTTTTTATTTATCTCACAATCAGATTCATCTACCACACTTCAGATGGAAATATATCTAAGATTTATTTTTCTTCGCCAATTTTGCAGCTCTGATATAAATACCCAGAGATTATCATGTATGTTGATGTTCGAATATATCTGCTAGGTATGATACTCTCTCCAACCACACCATTTCGATAAAGTATATCAAAAGGTCTTGTTTCCCTTGCACTTCCGAGAACAACTTAATTTCACCTTTCAATTAAAAAAAACACGATTCACAACATTTCCTTTTGACAGCCAGCGTACTGCAGTGTAGAAAAGCAAAGCCTCGTGATCTTTATTCATGTCTTGGAACAGTTCTTTAAGCAGACAAATGTTTAGGGCTACAGATTTAATATAATTTACTTTTATTAGCAATGGAGTCGGAAGAGTCTTGCTGGAGAGGGGGTACCGGTGGATTCCCCTTAGTTAGGGAGCTAAATCTTTTACTGTTTTCTGAAAGCCCGAATTTGACCCAAACATAAATGGCGCACCATCCGTACAAACCCCACAGTCGTTTTCCCATTTTTATCTTCCAGTTTAAAAAAAAAACATATATTCTCTCCATAATATCTTCACAAAATAGCAAATCTTTTTTGGTATCATCTGAATGAATACATTTCACAAAGACAAGCAACTGCGAACACGAACAAATGTCTGTTGATTCATCAACTTGAAAAGCGAACAATGGTGAAATCTAAATTTCATTCAAAATAAATTTGTTCTTAACATCTACGGACATGTCTGCTATGAGCCGCTGAATAGTATTATCAGGCAGAGCTATTTTTTGCATCTTTACTGCACTGGAATCGCCGAGAATTAATTTCACCATCTACCTACAACATGCAGGGGCTGATGAGATTTTCTCCTATTGTGTTGTTTTTGGTTTTGTCTCTGACGTTTGCAACTAGCTTCATGCCGACGAAAGAACTCCATATCTTTTTGGTGTGTTCCGAATGACTCGTCTCAAAATGACGTTTAATTAAGTTTTGGAGGTTTCATAGACTTATGACTGAGAACAACTTTGTACAGTACACATTGTTTTTCTATATTTCATTTCCCTTTATGTTAGTTAAGCCGAATTTCAGATATTCTTCTAAATATTTGGTGTTTTTTTTTAAATTGCTAGGGTTTAGTCTACCAGTTCGCGACCACCCCTCCCCAGAAAGCCCTTTGCGACCCCCTGGGGGTCGCGACCCCCAGTTTGGGAACCAAGGTCTAGATGCATAAAGAGAGTTGATGTTTGTGTAAATAGATTGTTGGGTATTATTGTCGGATGTTAGGTATACAAGGTTGAATACAAGCAGGGTATTTGTGTTTGATGTACTGCACAAAAGGTTTTAATAATGGAATGTGTAGATGTCAGATGTAGGGTACAGAAAGTTATATAATACAGATATTGATTTCAGGTTATAGATGGTACATATATTAATTTTACGCTAGAGGTGGGGCAGGTATTTATGTAGAATTATCATTGTATTTTAAATTTTCTTTTTTAGATGTGTTCAGTCGCTCCATTGTTCCCCTGCACGCCATGTTATATAAGCAATACAGCTTGCAACTGCACCGGTGAAAATCCTATGGGTTTTTCCTTTTACCCCTTTCGAGGCGCCGTATACAGGGTAGCAGTGGAAGGACAACTAACCACAGTAGGAGAATGGCCGATGATTTTACCTCGTCCTCCAATTAACCTCTCCTATTGGGCAATCAGTAATGTGTTCGATACCTCAACCAAACCAGGTAATTATAACTATTTTTTTCAATTTTTTGGCCCCTCCTTATGCAGCGGTTTCGTTCACACTTTCTAGATACGTTCCTTTTCGATGAAAACATAAGTCCATTTATTTTTTAAATTTTTAAATTAATTTGACGTTTAATTAATCGTTAAAAGTTTACTAAACGGTTTCGGATCTAAGGGGAGATAACGAAAATAAAGCACTCAATAGAATACTATATTCAATAAGAGAACGGGTGATAAGTAGCTAGAATGTTTACAATTGTAGAGCCGGTCGATCTAATTAAGGCTTTTATGGGCAGATAATTAAGTTTTCAAGCTGTTTTAAACTAAGCGGAAATTTCATAATTTAGAACTTGCTGTCGTCTGTTAAATATAGTCACGGACGGCTGCTTTCACAGGGCAGATAATCATATGGTCTTTTAGATATCGCGAGCTACTGAGAGTGTTTTAAAGCAAATATTTTTAGTTGTGTCGATTTCACAAATTTGGAATCACAAAAAGAAGAAAATAAAACAAATATTTAAAAAAACCTTTATAGCTTTAAAATGCTCTAAAAATAAGAAAATAAAAGATTTGCATGCTCATGAGATCTTTTACATATTTAAGCAACAAAAACTTTCATAAAAGAAAGTAAATTAGTTATATTTTCTTATTTTTCAATGCATTTAAAAGCGTGTTGCTATAAAAAAAAATGAAATTTGGTTTATTCAATTTAAAAAAAGAAAAAGATTTTTAAAACTACCAAGTTAAAATATTTTTTGTCAAATCATATAAGCATGGCTAATTCATATGCTTTAGGAATATAATTGAATTTTAAATATTTATTTAGCCCGTGATGGCCCTTGTGAGTTCATGTGGGCCGAAATTGATAACTTAATAGTTACCTGAGCATTTCCGTCCACCTAACTTAAAGATACCTCTTTCCACAAATTTCGTCAACCGAGATAAAACGTTGTAAAGTTTCCCTTTCAAACCTGACAGTCTATAGTGCAATTGAAGTAGGGTTCACTTGTTTCTGTGACCTCGGTATATGAAGAGATAGTGTGGTCAGCACTATGCCCAGCCGCCTTTACTTTCCCTAACGTTTATATGTATATGTATATGTATATGTGTATGTGTATGTGTATGTGTATGTGTTGATGGGTATGGGTATGGGTATGGGTATGGGTATGGGTATGGGTATGGGTATGGGTATGGGTATGGGTATGGGTATGGGTATGGGTATGGGTATGGGTATGGGTATGGGTATGGGTATGGGTATGGGTATGGGTATGGGTATGGGTATGTGGTATGGGTATGTGTATGTGTATGTGTATGTGTATGTGTATGTGTATATATATATATATATATATATATATATATATATATATATATATATATATATATTATATATATATATATATATATATATATATATAATATAAGCGGGCTGAGCGTGTGTCAGTCCTTCCTTCCTTCCTTCCTTCTGTCATCGCTATAGCTTTTGGAACCATAAAAGTAAACATTCGCACCATGCTGCGCTTTTCAGTGCACCGCAGTGTCTTATTATAAGTAATAGAGTAGGGTTTGTTTATATAGCGGCATAGAGCTATTTTATAATTGCCACGGTTTTTACTCTTTCGCATAACGTCAAGAAAATATTAAATACACGCAAACTACTAAAACGTATTAAAAAGATTAATGTCAAATATCATTTTCGTTTAGGTTCCCAGAAAAAGTGGATACATTTTAATAACATAATAACAGTACGGTAGAAAAATCAAATTAATTTAACTCTTTTCTAATTTTGCCAAAGGAGGTAATTTAAAAATACATTAAACTCACGCTAATAAAAAATGTGAATGCAAATATACGTTCGTCATAGAAGGAATTAGTGTTGCAATAATATAATTAGCAAAATGTGAATGCAAATTATTCGGATGTCTAAGAGGAAATTATTGTTAGAAAAATTATAATTAGCATGGATTGATAAAAGGCAATCTTTTATTTATTTTTATTCACTGAATGTAGGCCCTACTGTTTATTACTTATAATTTTTAATCAACTATTCAGCACTATTATAGACGCGTCATCACGATCATTAGGTGCGCAATGGTTTTAGTTATGAAACTCTTTTATAAATTTTTAAAATTTAAAGTACCTGGAAAAAAATGCGTGAATGGATAAAGTGAAATATTGTAGGTAAAACACGGATATTTTAAATACTGCCTATTATTTATACTGTTTACTAATTATTATTCTATCTTTCGGTTTGAGGACAAGCTAGGGGGTTTTATAGGAGAGGCGTAGCGAGGGGCAGGGCATATGTCCCCGGGTGCCGACCTTAGGGGGCGCCAAATTGGGTTGGAAAAAATTGTGTTTATGTTATGAGTGTTGTGTTTGTTTTTTTCGTTTGTGTTTTTTTTTTTTGCGTTCGTTTGTGTTGTGTTTAGTTTTGTTCTGTTCCCAAGTTGGTAAATTTAAAAAAAAGATTTACCGTGGCGGAG